TGTTTTTTCCTTTTTAATGTTTATAGTTCGCCCAAAAATGAAAATTGTAATTTTCTCACTTTCATGTCGTTCCAAACCCATAAAACTGCTGTTTGTCTTTGAAACACAAATGGAGTTAAATTTGATAATCTCTAATTAATTATTTTTGTCCATGCAACCAAAACTTTGATGCTTCAAAAAGTTCATAATAGTAATCCATATCAATCAAGCCGTTTAATCCAAGTCTTTGTATTCTCAACAGATTAAATGTAGTCTTTTATTCACACAAACATTGATCAACACATATTTTTGTACAGGTGTCTAAAGCCCTGCTCTTACGGTACCATCCGCTATCAACAGCCCTGACCGACAAGGTAGTCTCTTTGTTTCTTCTTCCTCTCTTTCCAGTCATGTCTCAGAGGTTCAGTGTTTGAATGCTCACTTCTGTCCTTCAGCTCTTCGCTCTGTTGAGTGACCCGGCGTTAGGATCTCAGGTGGCTGATGGTTTCTGCGTCCTCATGAGCGACTCTCTGGATGTGCTCAATCGCAATTGCCACGCCGACGTGCGCATTATGTACCGACAGCGCTTTTTCGCTGAAAACACGACCAAAATCATTCAAGGCTTCAACTCGGCAGAGCAGGGTACCTTGATTACCACTTCCTGTCTAAACCCGCGGTGTGACTGAACCGCTCTGCTTGCTATCTAAACTGTTGTTTTTGTTCCACAGAGAAGAAGTCTTATTATTTGAAGGCACTGTCCCACATTGTCAGTAACCTTCCCAGACAGGTCCAGCTCACAGAGCTTCCTGTGGTGAGTTGAATTTGTGCAAGTAAATGATTTCAGATGTGTTTTTTGAAAGGCGTTGTGTTAAATGAGTGTTGTGTGCTGTTCCCGGCCAGTTGCTGCCGCTGCTGTTGGAAGCGCTATCGTGTGCGGATCAGGCGGTCCAGCTCTCCACTCTGTCCTGCCTGCAGCCAGTGTTGCTGGAGCCACCAGCGGCCATCAGGAACCAGCTGGAGGCGCTGTTCTCCCGCCTGCTGACCCTCACCACCAGCCCTGCTATGGTACTGAATTCAACAGTGCATTTGATTTTAGTCAGTCTGACAACACTCGTCTGATTTTGACTTTATCTCCACTCCGACAGAAAGTGAGAATTGCGTCGCTCCAGTGTGTTCATGCGCTCTCTCGCCTGCCTGAACATATGGTAAGAAAATCATGAGAACTTATGAACGGCATCAGTTAGCCCTAAATAGTGCAGTCATTATTACTTGATTTAAAAAATATGAATCAATAAGTTTTAAAGAAAAAAGAAAAAAATTTAAATACGTTTTTAATTTAATTAATTTGTAATCATTTAAATGTAATGTGAAAAATTTAAAACATCATGGAAATTGTTGAATTTTATATATACAAATATATATAATGTCACTGTTATTTGATCACATGATAAAATATTTGTATTAAATATCTTAAGATTATAAAAAATGTTGTTATTATTATTACAAATTATTAACAAGTAAATTTACTTGTAGTAAAATTGTTAAATTTATTCAAGAGTTTTGGGTTGGTAAGATAAAAAAAAAAAAAAAATGAAATCTCTTCTGCTCACCAACAGTAAAAACAGTAATATTGTAAAATATTATTACAATTAAAATGACTTTTCTATCTATCTATCTATCTATCTATAGTATGCATGTTTGTGTATGTGTATATATAAATAAATTTTTTTAATGTAATTTATTGCTGTGATCAAAGCTGAATTTTCAGCATCATTACGCCAGTCTTCAGTGTCACATGATCTTCAGAAATCATTCTAATATGCTGATTTGCTGCTCAAGAAACACTTTTTTGCTTCATGTTTGTGTGGAAACCATGATGCATTTTTTTCAGGATTCTTTGCTGAATGGAAAGTTCAAAAGCGCAGCATTTATTTGAAGTAGAAATCTTTAGTAACATTGTCAACTCATTTTTGATCAACTTATTGCATCCTCGCGGAATAAAAGAATAAATGTTTTTCTATTTCTAAAAACACTTCTGGTAGATTGTTGGATGGTGGGCTTGCGTTTGTATTGTTTTTGCAGTCAGGCAGGTTAATTGACCCCAAACTTCGGAACGCTGCTTCTGAAAATATGTTGTAAATATGTTGTTTTGTTTGATTGCATTTAAGCAGAGAATGCCAAATGTAGCCGTTTAAATGTATCCTTCTGAATAACAGCCACAAACGATTTATGCATAATAAGACCAGACATCTAATAATAAATCATGTTGACTTGACTGTGCTATTAATAGTTTTGGTGTCCGTTTCAGGTACTGCCGTTCCGTGCCAGAGTCCTGAAAGCGCTTGCTGTTCCTCTGGATGACACAAAGAGGCTGGTGAGGATGGAGGCCATGGTGGCTCGAGGAGAATGGTGAGTCTGACATATCTAAACCTTTGAGGTTTCCACTGACAGCATCTAATGTGGCGTATCTCATCCGTAGGTTTTTGTTAGGAAGCCCCGGTGGAAGATGAACAGATCAGTGCTGCTGATGACCCATAACCGCTCACAGCTTTTGATTTTACTCCCTTACCCTCTTTTTTATGATATGGCATGAGTCTGGGCACAGATGTGGCTAAACAAACAGCCACACACACTGCTTGAACATGAAACCTAGTGATGCACTGAGCTTTGGCAGCGGATGCTGAATCAAGAGTAAATCAGACACATGAGCCGCAGTGCATCGTGTGCCAGCAGCACGTGTGACGTTATCATTTGTTCAGTTATCATTTGTTCAATCATGCCGTGTCACTATTATAGGAATGTTAGTTTGATGCAGGATACCGATCTCTCTCGATTCTGCTGTTGATATGACTCCTAATGTCAGTATTTTTACACTGTTTCATTAGCCACAGGGTTGGTTGTAGTTCATTTTCACAAGACTAACTTAAAGGTCAAGCTGACAAAACTGATGCCAAGAATATAAAACAATATTTAAGTGTCATAACCTGCAAATAAAACTTTTTGTAAATGTGTAGATTGTGACACAACTTTGACTATTAAACCGCATAAACACATTTCATTACACCAAATACACAAAATAATGTTCTTTTTAGCAACATCATGACAATTTTTTCAATGCTTAGGTCACTTTTTGAAAACTCCACACAGTGAGCACAACAGCAGTCTATGTGAGCTAAACTGAATCATTTATCATTGCTTTGGTACAAAATTCATTCAATGACTAAGTCTTTAAAATTGCATGAATTATTTTCTCAACTCAGACACAAAAACCACCAACACTCCATGCATCTACTGGCCGATTTGTACTTGTTTACATACTTTTTTCAAAACAACTTAAAGTCATGGATTGAATCCCTTAAAATGCATCTTTGATCATCAAAAGGACACACATAAACGTTTTTTTTTTTTTCAAATGGTAATTTCTTAATGTCTTAAAATGGCTTGAATATAACTGCACCCTTACCTCATTTAGTATGTGAATCATGAATATGCTAATTAGCCCCGCCTCTCAGTCGGACCTGCTCCACTTTCACGCCGTTTAGTAAACGCAATATAAAACGTTCACGAAGTTTTCCGTTATAACCAGTGAAGCTCTACACTGCACAATGAACCTCTTATTTACATCATGTCAACACTTTGTTGTAATGAGAGGATTCGCGAGAGTGCTGAATAGAGCACTGAAACAAAAACTAGTTTTTTGAGCGTTAAGTGGATTCTGATCTTAGACACATCTGATTGGCCAGCGTATTCAAGATAGCAACAGATATGTCTGTGATTGGCTACATCACTCAACGCGGCAAAAACGTTCTACATAGAACCCTTTCACCAGTTATGAAAAGCCCCGCCCCGCAGGTTGATGGGATTGGTTAAAATGTCTGTGACGTAGGAAACGGGCGGATTCAAACCGAAGTGTTTTGTGAACTAGCAGTGTTGCCAAGTCCGCGGTTTTCCCGCGGAATTGGGCTACTTTAACACTTGCTGCGGGGTTGTTTTTCATGTCCGCGGGTTGAAGCGACTCCAATAACATATTTAACCCGTGGAATGCGAATTTTACCAGGGGAACCCTGCCAAAAAACTTGTATTTTACCCCCTGGAAGCGATTTTTAACAGGGGAGCCCCCGAAAGGCCATTGGGCTAGTTTTAAGTAGCGATTGGGCGGGTTTTCTTGTGAAAACCTGGCAACCCTGAACTGTAGTTCCCTTTCGAAAAACGGTCTCCTGCGTCAACGGACAGGTCCTGAACTTACCATAAAACAAAACCGAAAAAGACAGGAATTTGCTACAGTAATGCCATGCTGAAATATATTACAAATTAATATATTAATAATGGGCTGCTTCAAAGCGCGAAGAAAAGACGAACAAAAGAAGATTTAGGTCAAACAGAATTTATGTTTAAAAAGTAAAGATGCAAATGTGTCTCAATTTCCCAGTACTGTTTTATTGCGATTTTATATCACACTAGTTCATTTGTACAGAATGTGCTGGACTGGCCTTAATATTAACCTTTTTAAGTAACATATTTCAGGTAGTTAACCCACAAAATGATCTAATTACTCAAATCATTGAAACAGCAAAACAATATTTTCATCTTGCTTACATTTATGGGGAATCCAAAAGTCTGAGAACATGTTGAAAATATGGTCACTTTAGGCTTCATTTGTTTACTGCATTACTTAACATGAACTGACAACAAAATACTTATACAGTATTTATAATTTCAACATTTACTAATACATTTTTTTAAATCAAAAGTTGTATCTATTAACATAAATGCACGTTCAGTGAACAATTGCATTTTCATTAACCAACAGTAACAAGGATTAATAAAAGCATTAAAAAACATATTGCTCAATGTCAGTGTTAGCTAATACATTAACTAATATTAACAAATGAGACATTACTGTAATGTTACCTAATATGATTTTTTTTTTTTTATTAACAAAACCTTGTTTTAGGATTTAGAAAAAAACTTAAATCTATGACATGAAATAAATATACTTGTACAAATATTATGAGTCTGTAATAATTTTAGGACAACAATGACTTTTTTTTTTTTTATGATAAGTAATAACTTATTACTTGCACAAGCAAGTTAAAGCAAACAGGGAACTTATCAAATATCAGGCATCCTAAAATCCATGTTAATGTTTATGCTTTTAATCTATAATGTGAAAATTAGATAATGTAAAATAATATAAAATATTTATGTACTTTTTTTCCCCCAGTGCTCTGACTTCTGGAGCCCACAGTAAACACGGTAAAACTGCAGACGTATTTCATGTGTAAAACCTATTCATTAGAAAACATTTGCAAAAGAAGGCAAACTAACTTCATTTGAAAAAAATGCAGGGACCACTTTGTAAATATCTGGACATTCAAATAGTTTTATAAAGAACACAGATTCCCATTAATGTCTGAGTTAAAAAATATAAATATTCCACAGATGTCACCACAATCCATTCACATAAAGCCTTTGGCACCAAGTCCTACTCTGAACTCGCACGTGTCGAGAAAAGGATCTTGCGCTGTACCATAAACACACATTTCAGTAGACCACCATTAAAAACCTCTAATAAGAGATTGTTCATTTGTAAAGGACAGGAGTGATGCAGAGACCCCTTCAGTCATCAGAGTTCATGATATGAATTTATGAACGGATCTAATCCATCAGGTCCATGACTGTGAGGTCATATGGCCATGGTGTTGTTCTTGTGTGCGGGACCGTCCCACGTCAGGCCTTCCCCGCGAGGAAGATGACTGGAGGGCAGCAGAACTCGCGTCAGCCAGTCACTGGTGGATAAGAAAAACATTTAGAATTACAGACAATTGAAAAAGAAAAAAAAAAGCAGATATTAAAAAATATTTAATGAGAAATAGTTGTACATTCAACTTTCACCTACATCTAAATTGGGGAATAATAAAAACATCTCACCTCTGCTTCTCAACACCCAAAAATATTTTCCAGTTGTTAATTTTTCCGAGGTGGTATGGATTACGGAAAACCTGCGAACAGACAGTCGTTTTCACAACAGTTTTGTGAGTTTTGAGAATACAACTTGTTTTGTCTTATTTTATTATGAGATTTAGAAATTAATTTTGCAATTGTGCTGCTAACTTGATATAACTTCATCTCCAAAACAAACAAACAAAAAAATAAAATAAAATTACTATTATGATTATTAAGAACAACAACAATATCAACATCAAGTACTACTTCAAAACTCTGCACATATTGCATTTTGTGCTGCTAGTTTTAGAACTTCCTCCCTGAAAACCAACAATTAAAAAATTTAATAAATAATCAAATTTGAATCAAATTATTATTATTATTAATACTACTACTACTACTAATTTTTTAATAATTATTAATTAAATAATATTTTTTCCAACTGCATTTAGTGACTTCAAAGTGTATACCTTGGTCTTATTTCTTCCAAATTGGTGGTTCTGTTCCGCTAATCTGATGAGCACATACTTCTCTTACCTTGCCCTTCAGTCGCAGTCGTCTTCTCTCTTTGTGGTTGATGTGTCTCTCCACGCTGGTCTCTCCTCTGGTGATCAGTATCGCATGCCACAGTGTCAGGCCTCCTAACGCTACAGCCACTGAACTGAAAACACGTCAGAAACGTCAGGCCGCAAGCACAGGAGAAACACATGCTGAGTGTAAAGTAAGACGTCTTACCTCGTCAACACCCACAGATAAACGAGGCTCTTATGAACCATCCTCTCCTGACGGGTGAAGGCGGGTGGAGGTGTTTGATAGGAGCTCTTCAACATAAAAAAAAGACTCCCCTTAAAGGAACACTCCACTTTTTTTGAAAATATGCTCATTTTCCATCTCCCCTAGAGTTAAACAGTTGAGTTTTACGCAGCGCCTGAAAATAGGCTAACTTCTGTCAACATAACCAACGTATGTCATTCTAAATATCATTGCGCCTGCTGCACCCATGGTACGGCAGCAAAGTTCCTTAAAATCGCAACTTTTAATTTTCCGTCTGAGATGGAAAATTTGCCTATTTTCAAAAATAGTGGAGTGTTCCTTTAACAAGACAATCATGTTAATCACAGCTAAAACCAAAACTTTCACAATTAGTCTACAGATCTCACTAATATTCTACGCTGCTACAGACACTGTGTGAACTAGTGCTTCTTCATCTACTGTCTGCGGCTGCAGTTCACTGGGCAGAAACTCTTAAACTCAATGATCAGCATCTGCGCAGCCGCTAATATCTGATGTGGATTTCATTCGAACAGCAACCGTAACAAACAGCCAAGATTACCTTTCAAATAACAGCTAATTGTTTATATTCATGTCCACTTGATAAGCATTTCAAATGCATCTGTCTGTGATTATGATGCATGTGATATCTGCAATTATTGTCAACCTAAAGTTGGCTAAATCAGCCTTTTATTAGTGGGACTACTAAAATATTTCATAGGTGATTTTAATGCCTGTAGTGTCACGTTAACACATAATGTAGGTCTTGAGAAAGAGTCTACAATGCTTTGCACCATAGACTTCTCTTGTAAGAGCATTAGCGCGAACATGAAATAAACTGAAAACAGGCTGTACTTGTATTTAACCTGGAACATTCCGTACAGTAACAGTACAGTAACTGAAGTTATTGCCCTCTAGGAGTTTTGCCAGTGTGAAGCTGCAGCCTCTGTGTAGCTTCTACCTGCTGTGAGAATGAGATATAGATTAGCCCCGCCCCCGGGACCGCCTCCCCCTGAGAGTGAGCGTCCAAATACCTGCCTGACTGCAAAAACAATACAAACGCAAGCCCACCATCCAACAATCCGCCAGAAGCGTTTTTAGAAAGAAATTCTTTCTTTTACTCATCAAGGATGCATTAAATTGATCAAAAATGAGAGTAGATAGATTTATAATGTTTCAAAAAATTTCTATTTCAAATAAATGCTGCTCTTTTGAACTTCCTGATAAAAAATGTATCACGGTTTCCACAAAAATATTCTGCAACACATCTGTTTTCAACATTGATTACAATCAGAGCAGCAAATCAGCATATTAGAATGATTTCTGAAGATCATGTGACACTGAAGACTGGAGTAATGATGCTGAAAATACAGCTTTGATCACAGGAATAAATTATATTTTAACATATATTTACATAGAAAACAGCTATTTAAAATTGTAATATTATTTCACATTTTTACTGTTTTTACTGTATTTTTGATCAAATAAATGCAGCCTTGGTGAGCAGAAGAGACATAAAAAGCTAGTGCATGTAAATCAACAGAGAAAACAATCTGAAGGCATTCAGAGCTTCCCCAACAGGAAGTCAAGAAGCTGATGAAGACTGACCTCGATGGCATTGTAAGCGTCCAGGAACATGTCTTTGGCACTGATGCTGCAGTAGATGCAGGCCATGGTCATGAACAGACAGAAACTGAAGAAGTAACGGTGGTTGAAATGACCCACGCAGTTATTTAACCAGGCTGGATGAGAGCTCAGTTAAGACGGAAACCTCAACAGAACACTGTCACATAATAATGAAACATTACTTTTTCACGTTTCGTAAGGTCGGTTTTGTTTACTAGCTGCTTCACAAGGATACGACAGTGGTGGTCCATTTTCAAAATACACCTGAGATGGAACAAACACACAAAAAAACACTATTTTATTTAAAACATTATTTTCATAATTGATTAAACTGACCTTTTCTTTTTGATTAATCTGATGAAAAATTAAGTGTATGAATTATTTTAAAAATAATAATTTAAATTAATTATTCATTCATTCATGTACGTACCGGTTGCAGATGCTGCAGTGATGGGTTCTAGCTGGTTTGGGAACGATACATTTTTTACAGATAGTAACAGTTGGTATATCACTCTTTTCCTAAAACAAAACACAGAGTAACAAACACTTAATTATAATGCTAAATATTAAAAAAAAGAAAAAAAAACAGTTTGCTTTTGATTTAAATACATTTGCAAAGGACTCAGAAAATAGCAAAAATAATTATTTTTCCATTCATTTTTCTTATAGGGATATTAGAAAGTCTTCATTTAGGAGATATCAGCCATTAACCAATCCAATGAGCTATGGGGAGAATCACAACATTACAAACTTGGATTTGAAGTAAAAAAGTATTTGAATTTTGCTTTTAATATTAAATGTATAAATAAATATTTAAGAAGGTGAAGGAAAGCTGACTGAATTACATTGAATTTCAGGGGAGTTCTTTGGCACTATTTACATGTGAATCTCTGATTGTGGAGATTTCTTTGCAGAATCATGGGAAATATTGATTAACAACCTCTGAGCTCACAGTAAGTGTGTCTTTAAAGGTTTTTTTAGTTATCCTTAAAAATCAGTTCCCCTATGGAGAAAATGAATGGGATTTTCACTTTTGGAATCCGACTGTTATACAATATTGATTACTTAAAATGTGACACTAAATATAAATTAAATTAAATCAATAAATACAAATTCTTTAAAAACGCTTATATATAGAAGATCAAACTAAATAAATACAAATTCTAAATAAAAATAAAAAAACATTTGGAAATAAAAATAAATACACACACAAAAGATATTCCTAAATAAATAAAAATTCTAAAAAAAAAAAAAAAATTTGAAAATAAAAAAAAAAAAAAAAATTGAAAGGGAGTGAAAAAA